TTAGCAATAGTAACGCCAACAGCAACAGCGTCAACTTTTGAATCAGAGTCTAAGGCAGAATATCAAGAGTATAAAGATTCAGAAGAACAGTCCACAAGTACCAGCAAGAACTGCAGCAAATCCAAAACTGCAACAAAGTTAGTTACATCTTCAAAGTTATCAACCAGCAAAGCAGCAACCATTTTTCGACAGTTAATTCCAGATGGGATCAACATTCAGACACAGTCACAGTCTCGTATATTTAAATCAACTATTAAAAAAACTGTTAAACTTAAAGAAGGAAGGTAGAAAATGATACATTTAGAAAACTCAATGCGCTTTGATGATAAATGTCACCAAGAATATCAAGTTGAAGAATAAATAAAAAGAAGATGTAGCTACAAGTGCTACATCTACCAGACCAAAAAGCAGATAGTATTGTTAAAGGTATAATAGCTATTCTTAATGAATTCAATTTAGGAAGAGTCTAAAGATAGTTGTAACGAACACTACGAATGTATATACTGGAATGGGTCGAGTCAGTCAGTCAGGAATAGGATTGTCAGTCAGTTACAATGATGTTTTAATGAAAAGAAACTGGAAGAACTATAATTCATTTGCTTTTAACATCATTTTCTTGACCGTGTCCTTCTAGTAGAAATAGATAAAAAAACTTGGAGGAAACAACATGTCTCCCAATATCAAATATCTGTTTATCCCAGAACTTGGAAAGAACTACGCACAGCTCAGGAAGAGTTTCATGAATGGTAAGTAAGTGATTACTAAAACAGCAGGATGGCGTGATTTTATGAAATTTCTATTCCATTTAACCCAGGTATTCTGCTTTTTTGAAGAATCTAGAGTATCTTGTAAAGTAAAGTTTCAGATAATACCTAAATTAAATAATGCATGATGGAATTCTCGAGCAGTACTAGCTCTTTTGCCATTTATTCTTCTACCAGAGAGAAGATACTCCCTACTAGAAATTTGTAGATTCATCTTTTACAGATGGGCGTATAATTGGTTTTTTTACCAAATGTACAATCAGATGATTATCGGAAGCTATGTAGCAGCTTACTTGGTCACAGAAAGGCCTTAAACTCAGATAAAAAGTTTTGGAATCAGTAACCATAAAGACTAGAAATTTCCAGAAAAAATAAGTGTGCAGAGAGCAATCAAGTTTCTTCAAGATCTTTTTGACAATCTGTAAAAAGAAAGCTTAGATATATTTTGTCTAACAAAGCATAAGAATCGTATATTAGGCTTTAATCAAGCTGAATACTCCACAACATTTTTTCGATATATACAGTAGTTTTTTGTACTTGTAAAATTGTTATTTTGTAATTGCAAATTTGTAATTTTATAATTTAGAGCGTTATGATGTAACAATAAACATAAAAACTACATGATAACTCTCCAAGTAAAAAAATTAAAGTTAAAAAATAATGATCATAAAATTTTTTGAAATTTTATCCATACACATATATGTTAAATTCAAATTTTTGGTTTGTGAATGATCTTTTTCAACAAGAAAATCAAATTAATGTTTTTTTCATTACTTTTGTACTAATATTCATTGATTTACAACCCTGGAACAAAAAAGTCATAACCCTAATATATGTATATCAAGCCTTCTCAGGAGACCTGTGCGGTTGCATGTCTAATATGACCACTCATACAATTTTTTTTTTTGACAACTTGGCCATACTTTTTTGCATATATTGGTAATTGGTGTGTTTTAAAAAATGTTCTGAAAAAACCAATCTAATTTAAAGAGAAATTAAAAATAAACAAACTATAAAGTAAAAAGGGAAACAAACTTAATGAATGATAAGTAAGGATAAACCAGAGAAAATAAAAGCACAAAACTAATATATTTTTTAAGTTAATAGTTAATAGTTCCAACTTAATCAAATTAAATGCATTTCAATTAATAGTTAAAATCTAATTATTTAAATCTAATAATATTTCCTATATCGCCATGTTTACATTTATATATGTGTGTGTGTGTGTGTGTGTGTGTGTGTGTGTGTGTGTGTATATATGTATGTATGTATGCATATGTATATATATATATACATGCATATATATATATATATATGTATATATATATATATATATATATATATATATATATATATATATATATATATACATACATACATACATATATACAGGGTGTTAGCCAGCCCAATGGTACCATATATACCATGAAACTCCCAATAGGTTTAAAATTCCCAAAATTTGATGACCTTTTTTTTTTTTATTGGAAGTAAAGGACAATATTATTTGATTCCCTATATTTTGTAGAATGATAACAATAAATATTCCCAATATTGCAAAAAAGCCATAAAAAATATATTCTTGGCTAACACCCTGATATATATATATATATATATATATATATATATATATATATATATATGTATATATATATATATTTACATATATATATATATATATATGTACACATATAAACATATATATATATATATATATATATATATATATATATATATATATATATATATATATATATATACATACCAAACCCTCAGTCGGTATATCAACATATATATACATATATATATATCCCATGCCAAACCCTCAGTCGATGTAGCAGCACTCCACTGCGAGTCAGGCTATTTGTCGGTTGATGTATGTACTGAAGCCCCAGCAGCAGGCTATTTCAGTATGACATCGTCATGCTCACCTAACTCAGCAGTATAAGATATATATATATATATATCTGGGGTTATTCTAGACCATTTTCAACAGCATTGACTGTATTTGGGTGTCGCCAAATTAAAAACTGAGGAGGTTTTTTTTTTTTTTTATGGCAAATACTGTTTTTTTAGCATTATTTCTGCTAAATTTCTCTGGGACGAGGATATACAATATATTATACTATATACTACTTGATTTTTGAAATATCAAATCAAAAGTTGTACACATTGCTTTGACATATAATTTATAAATTACGCAATTGTAATTTATTTGACAATAAATGTCAAATAAATTACAATGGCGTTTTTTTTTTTAATATTTGAAAACATTTTTTTCATTGAAACGACCATAAATCCTTATTAAATTAGTTTTTTTTTTCCAAGATCTCTTTTAGATTGATTATAAACAAAGTTTATTTTTTACTTTTTTTATATGCAACATAGTTTTCAAGTTTACATATAAAAACAAAAATGTCCACAGACAGACATCTATAAATACATGTTTAGGTTACATCATTGGTGTCACATTGATATAGTCTACTGCTAGGGGCTTCAGTACATACATCAACTATCTTACAGCCGGCTGTTGCAAAGGAGTGCCACTAGATTGACTGAGGGTTTGGCATAGGGCAGTAATCTTTTCTTTTATTATTCTTTGTTTTTTCCTTCTTTTTAAAAAAAATGCAGTTTAAATTAATATAACAAAAATAGAGTAATATATATATATATATATATATATATATATATATATATATATATATATATATATATATATATGTGTATATATATATATATATATATATGTATATATATATATATATATATATATATATATATATATATATATATATATATATATATATATATATATATATATATATATATATACATATATATATATATATATATATATATCAGCCTTCGGAATTAGGGTCGGCATTCGGCAATGCCGACCTTAAAGTGTATGATGTCGGTAAAAAATTGCTGACCTCATTTCTATGTTTTATGGTAAGACCTTTATATAAAATTTTATTTGCCGACATGATGCCGACCTCTAAAAGATTAAGGTTAGCTAATAATTGCCAACCTCAATTTTCCTTATTCCAAGGGTTGATATATATATATATATATATATATATATATATATATATATATATATATATATATATAATATATATATTACTGTTACCCGCAGTATCAGGAATTAGCTAATATTTATGCTAATATTCTAAATGCTAATATTTATAATATTATTTGCAACTTAAAGTTTCATGTGTTACCACAATCATCAGGCAAGTATTCAAAAGTTAATTTTGCTACAATGTGTTTAGAAAAAATTTACGGTTTATATTAGTATTTTAGATCGTTATGGGACGGAAACTGTTTAGTAGTTAAGGTTAATGTTATTACTAATTTGTTTTTGGTTAATATATGTGAAGTTGTTGTATGTTTTAATGTTTGTTATAAAAATACGATTTAATAATAATGTGAATTGTTTTTAAAAATTATTGTATTAAAAATAAATGAATATAAAAATAATTTTCAAAAGTGGGTATAAGAAATTATATTACGAAATATATTACAAAAGCTGTGTATGTGAATAATTTATTGGTTAGCTTAGAGGTGTACGAAATAGGGTTGCGTAGTTAATGTTAGTGTTAGTTATGTTTGTTGCGAGCATATATAAAGGTCTTACCATAAAACATATAAATGAGGTCAGCAATTTTTTACCGACTTCATACACTTCAAGGTCGGCATTGCCGAATGCCGACCCTAATTCCGAAGGCTGATATATATATATATATATATATATATATATATATATATATATATATATACACACACACATATGTATTAGGTTTTGATAATTGTTTTTAAACTTAGTATAAAGTTTCACTTCTTATGAGACATACTCAGAGATTATCTTTTTCCGGATATTTCCGGATATTTTTCTCAGCTTTCAGTTTTTTACGGATATTCAAAACGTTTACCATACATGCAAATTTAGGTGTATATTTGTGTAATGCATTTATTTTTTAGGCTTTTTCACTCATCACTCACACAAAAATTAAGAACAGTTTGAAAAAAAAATTGGACATAACTCAGTCAAAAGCAAAATTAAGAGGAAAATAAGGGGAAATATATATTCAAGATTTTTTCTGTATTTTTACCCAAATGATTTTCCAAATTTTTTAAATATGACCTGGATGATCTATACATGTTTATGAAAAGCTTTCATATTATAAAAACCACCTAAATTTTTGAATAACAATTATTTAAAAAAGTTTGTTACAAAAGTTTGAATGACAATTACATTTTTTATAAGTCCTATTTACAAATATATATATATATATTTTTTTGTTATTCACCTCCTCAAGGCCGAGAAGGCCACTACAGACAAAGAGGCTACTTAATAGTGGTTATAACCCTCTCTCAACTCTATAACTCCGAAACACGAACCTTGATGAACAAGGCCGCTGCGCAGAGAAACAAGTTGAATGCGGTACTACCAGGAACGTGGTGGGGATCGAACTTGAAAACTCTCGCTTATGAAGCAAGTGTTTTACCACTACACCACTACCGCATTTGTTATATGTATATATATTTGTTATATGTATATATATTAATAATTAAGGTCAGAGCACAAGATAAAGAAAAAAATGTAAGATCTAGTTAAAGTTAAGTAATGGAGTAATGTACATTAGCAGCATAAAGTCATTACCACAGTGACAAAAATGACATTTTATTAAACACCTTGACACATAACTCAACAAAAATCACACCAAAATGTTAGAAAACTCTGAAAACTTAAAATGCATGGTTAGGCTAATTTGTAACACCAAAAATGTTCATCATAATTCAATATTTTGTATGTTTTTAATACAGCATGCATATGCTTTGGCATAGATTGTATAAACCTTTGAATTAAAAATAGCTTCCTAATGCATCCACAAATCAGTCAAATTGCTTTGCACTTTACTGAAGAGCTCCTTCCACAGGTTTTTAATGGAATTCAAGTCTGGGCTCTGTGCTGTCTCAGCAACTCTCTTTACTATAAGATATATAGTTTTCTTGCTTATGTTTATTTTATCAGCTGTTTGCTGATATAAGAAGCCTTGTTGCTTAAGTACCTTCTTTGCCTGTTGCTTGGTTGACAGCTTGCTATACTTTAGTGTCCTAAAACAACATATTAAACACTTATTTTCTTATTTTAAACATCAAGTACGAACAATTTCACTAATTACTACTATACTAATTACAATTACTACTATCATAGTTACTTAATTAGTTTACAACCTTATTACATAATTATTTTTTATAATTTCACTATTTTCAGCTGCATTACACCACAGTCATTACACCACAGCAAAATTGTTGCTACAGCAACACTTTTGCTGTAGTGTAATGTGGTTTTACCTACAGTAGCACAGCTGCTACTGTAGCGTTATCTTTAGAGCCACAAAACATTTACCAATGATATTTTGAGAGCTTGATAAAATATGGCTAGTATCACTCATCAGGGATGTGTCCTTGCTACCTTTATCATTAATTTTTATTTTTGGTAATTTCGTATCCATATAATAAATTTATATATAAATTTTATCAAAATGTTTTCAGAAAAAAAGTAGAAATTTAAGTAAAAGAAATTTTAGGAAATAAAAATATTATTATGTGTTCTTTTACTCTTTTTTTTGTCTTTAAAGATGCTTCATCAAACATATCAGAACAGATAAGTGAAAGAAGCCAAACATTTACAACATCAAGAAATCTCCTTCTGTCTGGTGCTGATGCTATTGAAAGAGTTATATCTTCTTTAAAAGAGGTATATTTATATCTACTATAAAGTATATAGATCAGCAATTGCTTACTGTTTTTGCTTATCTTTATGGCATATACTGCTTTTTCAGAAAAAAACAAAACAAAAAACAAATAGTTAAAGAAAAGTTAGCTTCCTCAGCCCTAACCCTCATTCGACATAGCAGCACTCTTTTACAACAGCAGTCTTTAAGATAGTTAATTTATGTGCTGTAGCCCCTGGCATCAAGCTATTTCAATATGACATAACACTGCTAATCTGAACACACATTTATACTTATATGTATGTATATATATATAAGTATAAATGTGTGTTCAGATAAGCAGATTTATATATATATATATATATATATATATATATATATATATATATATATATATATATATATATATATATATATATATATATATATATATATATATATATATATATATATATATATATATATATATATATATATAGGGTTATTTCATATCAAATCACCTAGTTTTTTAAAACTTCCCCTGGATACCATCTCAGATTTGCTTTAAACTTTGACCACACACAGATCTTATGAAAAAAATACAATCCAGAAAATTTCAGCTTGATTGACCAATTTGTTCAAAAGTTATGATTGAATTAAAAATGACCAAAATCCGAAAAATTTGTGTATCAGGAGCTTACAGCAGTTTTTTGATTTTTGACAAACCATAACTTTTTAAATAAAGATGGTGATCACCTGAAATTTTGTAGGGTAATAGTTTTTCACCCAAATAATCCATTATTGCAGTTGTTTTTGACTGATTTTTTTACAGTTTTTGAGTTATTGTACCTTAAAGTTGCTAAATATTGCAACATTATAGATATTTTTTTGAACTTTAACGTGTTACAGTTTCATACTTAATTACAGAAAATTGATTTTTTTGTTACCTTTTTGTTAAAGTTCTATATATAGACAATCACCAAAAAAAATTTAAAGACCTATACTCTATCTTATGACATGATTGTAGCCTTTTGAGAATGATAATATTTTCAAAAGGAGAATGTTATTAGACTATGAGCTAACCTTAGGTCATAGTCTAATAATTAGTCATAGGGATGACAGTAGTATATATATTTTTTTATCTGTGAATGAATATATTCAGTTTTTTTTTTAATGACATAATGTCTTGATTTGTACTAATAATAATGACATAATCAGTGTCATAATCAGTATCTGATATTTGTTAGTTTCTTTGAGATTTAATATGTTTATGTCTTTTTTAAACTTTTTAGATTAGTAATAAAAATAAAAAAATAGTAAAAAATGACAGAGAAATGTTGTGTGGGGAAAGTTTTAAATGAAGATTGTGACAAAACGTATTATTGTAGAATGATTGGAAGAATAAAACTAAAAGATGTTGCGAGCACAGATGCTGAAGTTTTAATTCTAAGAATTGGACACACTTTTGAACTAAATAAGGAGATATGTTTTCACCATGAAAAGGCCTATATTTCTAGATATGAAGCGCTTCAAAAATACTGCTGTGATCTGTTTAAAGTCCACAAGAAAAAAGTTATTAAGGGATTGTGTAAAGTTGATAATTTAACAGCTAGTTGACTTAAGATTAAACCTGGTCAAAAACTTTGCACTAACTGTTTGAATGAATTCAAAATTAACAAATTACAGGAAAATTTAGTCAAGAAGATGAAGACAAAGATGTTGATGATGAGGACAAAGATGTTGACAAGATGAAGACGAAGATGTTGATGATGAGTTCTTCAGACCTAAATAAGACAGTTTTAAATAAGAGTGCTTCTTTACTGGAAATATCTCCTCTAAAAAATGTAAGTAAACGTGACAAATTAGAATATGGAAAGCAAAAAGTTAAAAAACTGGAAACAAGTATGACAAACCTAGTAGCATCAGCATTAGATATAGACCCAAAAGAAATAATATCTGAGAAAAAGCAAAAGTGCATTAACTGTGATGATTTAGACAAACTTTTAGATGCAATAAAGTAAAAAGTAAAAATCAGTTTGAATGAAGAAAAAGTTCAATTACTAACATTAACTCCTGATAGTTGGTCAATTAAAAAAACTTGCATTTCATTTTCTGTTTCAGACCATCTTGTTAAGAAAGCCAGAAAGCTAAAAAATGAATTGGGAATACTTGCTAAACCTGAGGCTAAAAAAGGACATCCTTTGGAGAATATTGTTAAGCAGAGAGTCGTTGAAATATATGAATCTGACGAATACACTAGATACGCTTAATATTAGTTTGTTTTTAAAGAACTTCATCTGGAGTTTAAGAAGTTATACCCTGAACACAAAGTTGGATTCAGCAAGTTCTGTGAACTAAGGCCAAAGTGGTGGCTTACTGTTGATAGTAGTGGAAGCCACTCAGTTTGTGTATGTTCTTACCATCAAAATGCTAAGTTGGTGTGCTCTGCTCTTCCTAACAGCCATTTAATATATTACAAAGATTTAATGAAAGTATGTGTTTGTAATATAGATAGTCGAAACTGCATGTTTCATCTATGTTCCAACTGCCCTGGTAAAATAAATTTGAAGACTTACTTGGAAAATATGTTTGAAAAGAATGATTTTGATTTTGATCATCAGATCACATATAAACAATGGGTGTCAACCGACCGAACTGCACTTATTACAGTCCAAACAAGAATTAGTGAATTTATTGAAACTTTAAGTGAAACTTTGTATGACCTTTGTCACCACCACTTTATCAAAGAAGCACAGTCTTCCTATTTAACTGAGGTAAAACAAACATTAGACCAATATACCTGCATTATTCTGATGGATTTTGCAGAAAACTATAGTTTTCTTGTACAAGATGCTATACAAGGGTTTTACTGGCAAGCCGATCAAGCTACCTTACACCCATTTGTTGTTTATTACAAAGATGAAAAAGATCACCTTAAGTGTGAATGCTATTGTTTAATTTCTGACCATCTATGTCATGACCAATCAGCAGTCCATTGTTTTTTCGCAAAGTTGCTTCCTATGGTCAAAATCAAACTATCCACAGTGAATAAAGTTAAATACTTTAGTGATGGTGTTGCGTCACAGTATAAAAACTACAAATGTCTAATAAACTTAATTTATCACATTGTAGATCACCAAATAAATGCTGAGCATTACTTCTACGTCACATGGCAAAAGTCTGTGTGATGGAATAGGAGGTACTATAAAAAGAGAAGCAGCAAAAGCTAGTCTACGAGCAGCAATTACAAATCAGATTCTCACACCACAAGATCTGTTTACATGGGCTCAAAAAAACATCAAAGGTGTTAACATATTTTATCATTCAAGTGACGATATCAATAACCATGAAACAACTTTTAACCTTCAGAAACGATATGAAGGGATGCGCACAGTTCCGGGAACAAGAAGCTATCACTGTTTTGTACCAGATGGAGAGAAATTGTTTTTACAAAGAATCTCTAGTGATACTGTCTATGATAGTCATGTGTTAAATGATGTTAATTTGATTAAAAAA